GCTTGATACATCTTAATAATGTTTTAATATTAAATTACTTACAATTACTAAATGCATGCATGTATAGATTTGACATCACAAAATTAGAATTTGTATCAAGGTTTATTTTTGAAATAAGATACCTGAAAAGTAAGCCTGCAACTTTTGAATGGAATTTTAGCAAAAACCAACAGGTAAAATAACAATTTGATACATTTAGAGTGAGCAGTCAGCTGATTAAACTTTTCTAATATTGTTGATACCATTGTAGTTTTTTCTCGTCTGTGACAATATTCACTATTTGATTTTGTAAACTAGGAAAAACAGTCTTTCACAGCGATTTTTACATTGTTTGCAATGTGTGGAATCTAATTGTGGTGTGAAACCTACAAACACACCAAATCAACCAATCATTACACACCTTTCTAGAAGATCTTGTCTGAATACAACTGCATGTGGTAACGTTAATAGTTCCAATCCTGACAAACAGTGAGTGTCATTTTCATACAATATACGAGTCACCTAGTAATGAAATAATAACAATAGTATTTAGAATAGTCGATTTAAACTTACAATATTTAAATTTCTGACTACCGGTATGCCCAATTCTAATTTTGGCTTTACCGGTATTCAAATTTCTGTCAATGCTCTATTCAAATTCCTATGCGCGGTCATTCAAATCTCTGCCAATGGTTTATATGAATGCCTGGCAGTGTTTTTAATGTTCTATTCAAATTCCTATCAATGGTCTTATCAAATTCCTATCAATGGTCTTATCAAATTCCTATCAATGGTCTTATCAAATTCCTGTCAATGGTCTATTCAAATCTCTGCCAATGGTATTACCAAATTTTGGTTAATGCTCTATTCAAATTTTCAATAGTGTTTTTATCAATTTTCTTGTCAATATTTTATTCAAATTTCTGTCAATGTTCTATTCAAACTTGTCAAATATCTATTTAAATTTTTCTAAATTGATACATGGCCACCAACCAGTTTATGGCCGCCAGTGTACATCTGAGCAACAACCTAACATTGAAGTAGGATCACCAATCCATCAGAAATTGACAAACGAATAATAGAAGGCCATGCTTTAATTGGTTGACAAATCTCATTAAAGGAAGTTATCTATCTCTCTGTTTAGTCAGATGTAGCAATTATAAGTTCATAGGATTATAAGCTATCTGATTTCATATTAAGAGAGAATAACAAAAAGCAAAGGATGAAATTAAAGTAGCCTGTCTATTGGATGAGTTGGTGAATAAAAGTTAACCTGACGCTAGCAAGATTATTCATAATAAAATTTCAATTCTTGGCTCATCATCATTTTATAAGTCTTAGAAATCTAGAAAACATTGGAAACTTGGGATTTGGGACATCCAATTTAGTCAGTTAGTAAAAATTTGATATTTTATTCACCTGTTCGTATGGACAGGAAATTTGTTTATTTATTTACCTGTCTGAGCTGAAATCTGCCCATCAAGTGGACAGGCCTTTTCACTATGAAGAATGCTTGAGAGAACAGAGAGTCAGACTCACTTACCAATAAATCTTGTTTTGTCAGATGTTTCGCAATTGTCACAACATCTCCTTTTAGGAGTATGTCCTTAACTTTAATAATGGCTGCACTTTCCAGTGGTTTGTTCTTTTCACTCAATAAAGTACTTGTAAATTCTGATGGCTTAAAAACAGATTCTGTGCCCAGTCGGGAGATCAGTTCAATATCATATTCAGATATGACTTGCGGTGAAACAGAGTATAGTTTATAATAAGATTTATCTTTTGTGTCTGTGTCTATTATTGAATTCCGAGTGTCAGAAGATTTCCTGGCTCTCAAAATTGGACTGATGAAGTGCAATTTGTTTTCTTCTTTCAGCTTAGTGAATTCAATCGGCATCGGTTCTTGTTGCACCAGTTGTGAATAGTCACTACTATCTCTATCGAAAGGTTGGTTTCGACTTGGTTTCGGGGGCGGTGCTTGCTTAACTTCCAACTGGCTATCAGATCCAAATGACTGCATTTTATCCAAAAAGTCAGATCCTGATTTGCGTTCAGTTTTGGGACTTAGTAACGGTTCACTACCGTATCGTGTCATACCGTGTTCATTTCGGATTTCAGACACTTTACTGTTAATCAAAGTCTGCATTTGTGGTTGGCTTTCACATCTTTCTGACATTGTTTGTGGGAAACTTGAAACACGCTGTGCTGGTATACTCGGTTGACTTCCAGACCTGTGGTGTTTTGCTTGCGGATACGCTGTGATAGTACCGTATTTACTATCTCCAAGGTAACTTAATGGTATCGTCCTATTTACCGGTTTAGAAATCACAGCGTGCGTCGCTTCCGATATCACTTTCTTATTACCCACATAATACCGAATCAGAGATGGGATATTGTCAAAACTCTCTCGTTCGAACTGGTACTGAATTCTACGTTTCGTAGTGTCTGGATTTAACACCACTCTATTGATGATAAAATGCAGTGCATTTTGATGCCATCGCATCGTCAATACATAGTCCCCGGGTTGAGAGATGCAGTCACGCACAATAAAGTCCCCGTTTTCTTTTACTAAGCGTTCACCCAAGTTTCGACTAATAGATCCATGAAACCAGGCATGGCTGCGGATATCATCACTTCCCAGCTTCAATTCCTCTTCCAAGTCTTTCTTCACCTTCTCCGGAGATAAATTTTTAGCGATTTCCATTTTGTTTTGAATCAAATCATAACCTGCAATATTAAAAATAATTAATTAAAAAATTCTGGAATGATGACTTAATGATACAAATTCACAAATCTAATAAAATTTTACCTTGAAATGGTCATGAATGACTGATCATCTCACAGTTACATGTAGCATCAACCAAGGTTATAGCTAGATTAACATTGGCCATTTGACAGTTATGGCACATACGGTATACATGTATGTATTTGCTCTATTAGTACTACCAGTATATGCACTTACGTAAGAGACAGATGTGTTTGCACAGTCAAACAAAGTCATACATGTACATGTATAGTACAGCCTTAATACTTAGCTAGCTTTTAGCAGGCATAGTTTAGCTAGCTTTAGAATATATATAACTCTAGCAAATTAATCTGCCTAAATATGACTTATTTTAGTAAGTTGGGTAAATACTACAAAGTAAAGTTGAATTTATTCATGACACTGATACTCACTAGTTTGTTTATGAAAAGGCAAAGCCACTTGAAAGTTAAGCCACCCCATGACTGTACTGTATACTGTGAAATACTTTATTTTGGCTGGAATTAATTTTTGCTGAAAATAACTTTTTGAGTGTTTTGTATGGAATTTAATTTTCACTGATTATTGGTAAGTTGAATGTAAAATATAGAAAAAAAGGTTGATGTGCTGGATTTTATTTTTGCTGAATCCTTCCATCAGCGAAAATAGCAAACATTAATTCCAAGCGAAAATAAAGTATTTTACAATTATTAGTTTAAAAGTGCATTTCTAATTAAAGATGCGTTTCTAATAACCACAAATACCGTGACCGCTCACAATACATCGTATACACATATGCCGTAATCATGTGATCATGGATCATTGACACATATTTTTCTTTTTCATTCAACTTGCTAGTCTTTAGAATTAAATCTTCAAAGCATTTCCTGTGAATCAAATAACTCTACTCTAATTGCATACGAAATGAGTGAAATAAATGTTATAAGTCATGACATTTAAAGTATTGTAAATTTACACAATTTAATGACAGAGACCGTACAACAATACTGCTCACGAATCTTGAAAGAGCAGGAGGTAATAATAAAGCAGGATGTCTGTAGTACTCTCATGGGACACGTCTTTCAATAATACAAGGAGTTCACTCACACAACTCTATTTATTTCAGTCTACTGATCTTCAACAGTACGCACAGTTACTGTATTTTCAAACAAGACTATGATACAACCTGAATAATAAGTATTATTAAACATCTACAACTGTAACCTATGAAGTTCCGGAATCAGCATCCAATAACTATGCAAATTAGAATGCAGAATCCAATAATTATATGCAAATTAGAATGCAGAATCCAATAATTATATGCAAATTAGCATGCCGAATCCAATAATTATATGCAAATTAGAATGCAGAATCCAATAATTATATGCAAATTAGAATGCAGAATCCAATAATTATATGCAAATTAGCATGCCGAATCCAATAATTATATGCAAATTAGAATGCAGAATCCAATAATTGTATGCAAATTAGAATGCAGAATCCAATAATTATATGCAAATTAGAATGCAGAATCCAATAATTATATGCAAATTAGAATGCAGAATCCAATAATTATATGCAAATTAGCATGCACAACCTTATAATTATGCAAATTTATATGTTATTGGATTGAACCTCTAGACCTCATCAGTATATCAACATTAACACACAAAAAAATACCCTTTTCAACAAAAATTTTTGTAATCTAATTAAACATGAATGATTGAAAGTAACAAATTTGTTGACTATCTACCTGGTATGAGTGAGACAATTTTGGCATGTTAAACAATGATTTTCGTCAAGGTGGCAATATTCTGGCCACTGATCTTCAAATTTGATCGCATCTCTCAGTCAGTATTTATTAAAGTGACTGCACACACGCATGTGCCAGACAGTCTTTCTACCTTCTATGAAAGCTTACAAAAGCTACACTCTATCTTAGGGACCAATCGTGTATAAAAAACAGACCCTCAGAATTGCATCATTTTGATTATGCAAATTTTTAAATTGTCTCTCCCTGCGCCTGTTGGCAAACTTTAAAAGCGAAAGTGATAGTTTAGATGACATTTTTAACATCTCTAAAAAGGATATACATGTATAATAATAAGGTTATTAATAAAATACCATGATTTATGTTCTTGTACTAATAATACCTTTGCTGTATGATAAACTCAAACATAAATTCTGGTATTTTGTTAATAACCTTATATTATTAGTCATTTGTCACTATAAGTTACAGCACGTCGTAATTTTGAGGTATGACATCCAGCATCCTATCATACTAGTATTAGGAAATGTAAATTCCAAATATGAAGAAATTACATAGTAATTCCAAGATGGC